ATGGCACACTTAAGGTGATTCTCAAATTGAATGCCACATCCTACCGAGGCTCCGTCCTTCCTAGTTCAGTCCTTCAGAGTCTTGTAGGCTAGAGTCCTCCTAGACAATAAATGCTAGAATGAGACGGACTAGCAAGTGAGCGTGGCTACGTCACATACAGTGCATCCGGAAAGTATTCACAGCGCTTCGCTTTTTCCACATTTTATGATGTTACAGCCTTATTCCATAATGGATTAAATTCATTATTTTTCTCAAAATTCTACAAACAATACCCCATAATGACAACGTGAAAGAAGTTTGTTTGAAATCTTTGCAAATTTATTAAAAATAAAAAACAAACAAAAAAAATCACATGTACATAAGTATTCACAGTCTTTGCCATGCCACTCAAAATTGAGCTCAGTTGCATCCTGTTTCCACTGATCATCCTTGAGATATTTCTACAACCACCTGTGGTAAATTCAGTTGATTGGACATGGTTTGGAAAGGCACACACCTGTCTATATAAGGTCCCACAGTTAATAATGCATGTCAGAGCACAAACCAAGCCATGAAGTCCAAGGAATTGTCTGTCGACCTCCAAGACAGGATTGTATCTAAGCACAGATCTGGGGAAGTGTACAGAGAAATTTCTGCAGCATTGAAGGTTCACAGAAGCATGTAGTCTCTGTTACCCTTAATGGAAGAAGTTTGAAACAACCAGGACTCTTCCTAGAGGTGGCCTCCTTGCCAAACTGAGCAATTGATGGAGAAGGGCCTTGTCTAGACTGGTGACCAAGAAGTTGATGGTCACTCTAGTTGAGCTCCATGATCATATAGAGCTCCGGACGTCACGTGACCCATTCTGTTTACACCACCATGCTGGCAGGCAGGGACAGCCGGGAGCGAATATGAAATGAATGGCGCCAGCATGAGTTTCAAGGCAACAGTTCACTGCGTACTTTAATTCAAAAGACATAGACCTGTACATAGCAAAATTTATTAGATTAAGCATAACAGATCCCTATAATGCCCCCCTGGTGCTTTTAACTTGTAGCCTATCAATAAAGGAACGGATACACTTCCTGACCTGCAGTATCCTGATATTTACAACTACCTCATCAACTTTCCCTCCTAACATTACTCCGGAGACTCTTTAAAAGCCTATAAAAGCCTGAGGGGTACAAATGGAGGCAATCAAATTTTTTGATGAATATTCAACCTGCTATGTCATCACTGGAAGGGTAAATCAACTGTGTTGTTAGCTAACGTAATCGACCCTAGCTGTCCTTGTAGGTAGCCAGTATAGCTATATCACTGTGAGTACAGTAGACATCATAAATGTCATGAAATCTTACCTGTTTAATCCCAAATTTTGTGTTGGTTAGCATGTTTTATTGCAGTGAACCATTTTAGTCGTCTATCGGGATCTATGTCATGAAATCGTACCCGTTTAATCCCAAATTTTGTGTTGGTTAGCATGTTTTACTGCAGTGAACCATTTTAGTCATCTATCGGGATCCTTAGGAATACGATAAAATGATTTCCCCTTTGCTTTATGGGACAATCGCATATGTGTGTATATATATATATATATATATGGAAATGCATCTTTTTTTAATTAAAGATAACGTCTCGGTTACGTATGGTAACCCTCGTTCCCTGAATGGCAGTAGCGCGAGCGCCGCTTAATTGTGAAGCAGGAGCGACTAGCCAGCAGAGGATTCTGCAGCCTTCCTCAAACAGTTATGTTCAGGATTTTCTTTTTTACTTAACGAATACTGTGTGAGGAGGCAAGAAACGGGCTAAGGGAGGTCATGTACGGGACACATAAATTAAACCCAATATACGGGACGGTTGGCAACCCTAGCTTTCCCCTGCCTGTTCTGGCATCCTGGCGCACAGCAGTTGTCTACCATGTTGAAATAGTAAGGTTTGTAAGGTCTAAATAGTCTGGTTTTAAATTATTGTTGTACAACTGTCGATACCAATGCTCTAGCACTCTCCTGATTGCCTGCCAAAATGGAGTTTAGAGTGCGTGACGTCAACCTCCGGAGCTCTATATGCAGATGGGAGAAACCTACAGAAGGTCAAACATTACTGCAACACTCCACCGATCTGGGCTTTATGGCGGTGTGGCCAAACTCCTCTTCTTAGTGATGACACATGAAAACACACATGGAATTTGATAAAAAGCACCTAAAGGACCCTCGGACTCTGAGAAACAAGATTCTCTGGTCTGATGAACCTAAATTCTAAGCATCATGTTAGAAGGAAACCAGCTCTGCTCATCACCTGCAGAGTACCATCCCAAAAGCAAAGTGTGCTGGTAGCAGCCTCATGCTGTGGGGCTGTTTGTCAGAGTAGAAGAAAAGCTCAATGCACCAGAATATCAAGATAACCCTAATGAAAACCCAGTCCAGATCATTCAGAACCTCAGACTGGGCAGAAGGTTCACCTTCCAACAGAACAATGAACCTAAACACACAGCAAGAGTGGCTTATAGACAACTCTGAGAGGCCCAGCCACAGCCTGGGATTGAACCCAATCAAATATTGCTGGAGGAACCTGAAAATGTGCGTCTGCCCCCATCCAACCTGACAGCTGAATGAAGGACACGAAACGAAGGCTGCCTTCCAATGATCCTTGCGATTGAGACAGCCTTCAGCGACGTTTGATGACAGATATGCAGCCTTCATTGGATGCAGCCTTCTGTTTGAGAAGCACTTTCGGTCTTGTGGACTTACAATGGCTGCCTCATGCGTGTGTCCGTTAAGTCCACGAGACCGTAGGGTGTCCCAGTCGTCATTTTAGCGTTTGAAAGTGTGCCCACGTGCATCCCCCTTGCACCCTCGATACGCACTTCTGCCGAGCCCGTACCAGGGCGAGCTCCGCAGCAGACTTCTAGCCGACAGTCAAAGAGGCATTACATCACAAAAGTGTGGACTCAGAGGAAGACCGTGAGGGTATAGGGTGCCATTTGGGTCAAAGCCCTACTGTTTTTGTTTTGTGCAGATACTTTTTATGTAGCATAATTTCACAAAGCCGTGAAAACTGTGAAACCGTCAGAATATATATATACATAAGAAAAAAATGGAAAAACAACAGTTTTGAAAAATTATATTTTATTCATATGTTATGCTATGTCCTCTGCAGAGGACACCAGGACTCAGTTTTTCTAATAAAAAAAAAAAATGACATGAATAGTCATGAAAAGGCAGAAACAATGGGACACCTCAGCAGTGCCACAAACTGATCACCTCCATGCCACGCCGAATTGAGGCAGTAATTAAAGCAAAAGGAGCCCCTACCAAGTATTGAGTACATGTACAGTAAATGAACATACTTTCCAGAAGGCCAACAATTCACTAAAAATGTTTTTTTTTATTGGTCTTATGAAGTATTCTAATTTGTTGAGATAGTGAATTGGTGGGTTTTTGTTAAATGTGAGCCAAAATCATCAGTTACTGTGTGCATACTTCAGTCTGTGTGCATTGAATTTATTTAATACACGAGTTTCACAATTTGAGTTGAATTACTGAAATAAATGAACTTTTCCACGACATTCTAATTTATTGAGATGCACCTGTGTGTATATATATATATATATATATATGTATATATGTATATATAATGAATTAAAATGAATAAATCTATAAATGATTATATTGCACTAGAACTAATGGTGTAGATTTTACTACCATATTAAATAACTAGATGTTTTTCTCCATTAGCTACTGAGGATATTCCACAGCATTGGAATGCAATGGCGCCTAATGAGCTGTGCAAAAAGTTTAATTTGCAACCAACCAGTGTATGTATTTATGCATGTATTTATTTATTTTTATTTTTCAATTAGATCTACAGGACCGAACATTGTTCAACTAAATCAGCATATTAGAATTCTGAAGGATCATGTGACACTGAAGAATGGAGTAATGGCTGATGAAAATATAGCTTTGCATCACAGGAATAAATTATATTTTTAGAATTGCAATAATATTTCATAATATTCAACTTTTTTCTGTATTTTTGATCAAATGAATGCAGCCTTGATGAGCATAAAAACGTCTTTAAAAAACGTCATACTGATCCCAAACTTTTGAACGGCAGTGTATACACACACACATACACACACATACACATATATATATATATATATATATATACAGGACTGAACATTGCTAACTAAAATAAACTTTCCTAAAATATTATTTTTGTGTGCTTACTGAACAGTGCATTCAATTTTAGAGGATTTCAAGTTCAACTCATGGTTATAGATAGAATTCTTAGGGTGATTGTAGGTAGATCAAATTTTTTAAATTAGACCAGCAGTGAAATACATTGTAAACAACCACGAAATAAACACATGGCAACATCACAGACAACTTTCATAATTGTATCTATCATGGAATTGTTATTTGTTTTTTGCAGATTGAACGAATCCAGAATCCCGCCATGTGGAAGAACTACCAGAATAACGAAAGAGTCACTTTAATTTTCATACTCCACATCATTCTACTTGATTTGAAGTGGTGCATTATGTATTGTTCATCTTCATTAATGTTTCTTGTCACAGCTGCAGTATATGGAAACGGTACTTACTTTGCACTCAATGCATGATACTCTTCTAGCAACACATACTCAGTGCCTAATGCTCAGGGACATAAACATGTACCTCTGCAGAGTCCTTACTGGAGACTACACTAAAGAAGCAGGAGGGATGATTGTGCCACCTGCAAAAAATGCCAACTGTGATCCATATGACACGGTTGTGGACAACCCTAATGCCCCCACCTTTTTTGTGGTATTCCGAGATGATAATGCTTATCCTGAATATTTAATCACTTTTACTTAGTCACTGAAGATCAATCGTTTTACACATTATAATGAATTCATTTTCTGTTATTCTACTGTAATCCTGGTGCTATTTTCACTAGATATGCACGAACAAAACAATCTTCAGGCACATGTAAACAAACTGCACTGTCTGCAAATAAAGATCTTCAAAACTTCAAACTGTTTTATTGTTATTTCTTACACCCTTATACAACATACAACTGATACTTTTGGCATTGCATTATAACAATCAAACATAATACTGTGTTTTAAGTTTTAAAATCAGATTTGTCTATATACGTGTCTTCGTAATAATATTTATAAACAAAAACTCAAAATTTTATATACACATGGACAGAAAGGTTGAAAAAATATCTAAATCCAGATCACCTCCTGTCATGTCAAGAATTACTGTATCACACACACACACAAAAATGAATTTAAGTGAAATGAATGTAAAATAAAAAGTATAGCATGAGGTCAACATCAGCAATGAGACACAAAATGATGAGTTGAATTAGGAATTATGTATTCAAATCACCAAGTCAGAGTCAAAATGCTTAGTCCGTCATAAAAAATAAATAAAATAGGAGCAAATAATACATTTGTGACTAGTTCTGCTAGTTTGTCTTCTTTAGTCCAGGGAGAGTGAGTTCATACCTGTTCATCAGAGAAAAAAAAAGTTACATACATAAATATAAACCATCTAACTTAAACCTTACAAAGACAAGTACATACAAGAGTGCATTAGTGCCAACTTACTCAGTTGTGTGGGTTCTGAAAGTATTTTTCTATTCATTTTTCCCATAAGGATTTTTAAAAAGTCTTATTTAAAGCATTATAAGCCAAGAACCAAACCAACCAGCTATGAGCTTAAAGGGGTCATATGATGCAATTTCAATTTTTCCTTTCTCTTTGGAGTGTTACAAGCGGGGCATAGAGGAGAAATAATAGTGTACAGTATGTGGAAAATAATGTTTTTTTTTAACCTTAAACCGCATAAACACATTTCATTACACCAAATACACAAAATAATGTTCTTTTTAGCAGCATCATGACCCCTTTAATATAATAATATAGTCTTTAAAGCTTCATAAACTGTCATTAAAAATCAGTTTCTCTATGGAGAAAATGACGTTTTTATTTCCGGAACCCAACTGATGCACTGAACAAAACCCCCCAACAAATTTAGCTGACCACATTTGCTGTCCTTACCATTCTGTGGATCCCTTGATCAGATCCATTTCAGACATATCAATCAAAACCTTTTGAAAAAGAATAAAATGACATTTTTAAAGTGACAGTCCCGATAATTAGAATTTGTTTTTTTTTTGGGTTTCACTTTATTTTGACAGTCCCTTTAACACATTCTGTTGACTATAAGTAATGTTGCACCTACATATCTACTAACTCTCATTTGACTAGTAGGGATAGGGTTAGAATAAGTTGACATTTACTTGAAAAGTTATTATAGTCAGTAAATGTCAGCTGGGAGACCATCGCAATAAAGAGTTAGCAGATATTAAGCAGACAGTCTACTAATAATGAGAGTTAGTAGACATGTAGGTGCAGCGTTACTTGTTGTCAACAGAATGTTCAAAAGGGACCATCAAAATAAAGCATCACCATGTTTTTGGTTTATGTTTTTTCTTTATGTCCATGTCAGTCCGTGTTCTTTATCTACTTACCATTCCAATCTCCTTTCGCTCTCTTTTGTGAAGCATTTTATTGTTTTTTACTGCAACATCCAGCTTTCTTGTTCTTGCTTCCTCCATTGACACGGCAAACTCAAATCTGAGATAAAGAATTATCTTAGAAATCTTTGAAACATTTCTAACAAAAGTTAATACTAACAAAAGATAATGCTTGGTTATCAAATGGTGAAAAATGTCTCTAACGTCTCATTGAAGACAGGGTTCACGGTCTTCTTTTTAACCGGAGTGCGCTTGCGGTGCTTCCACGTCTGATCAGGCAGCAGATACATGCGGACGTAAGTATCAGAGCCGCTCTCGCTGCAGGAGAACAGATCCCTAGGCAGCAAAATAATAGCTTTTATGAATCTTTGATCTGTGAAAATCATTACAATTTAAATACAAAAGGAGGGATAAGCGTCTCACTTGCAGCAGCTGACAATAATAATGAGCCGCTTCCTTAAGGTGGCATAACGCAAGGTGAGATGAACCTGCCCAAAGCTGCCCTGATGATGCAGGATGGCCCTTTAATGAACATTTAAACTCGTAAGTTAAATCTGAAGATTTTTGTAGAACACAACATTTGTAAGCAGCACCAGATTGTACCTACTCTGGATAAGGGACACTGTCCGTAAGATCGAAGCGAGAAGCTATCGAGTTCTCTGACAACAGACTGTGGGGATCGTAGCGACGCATTTGACTGGGGGTGGAGGGAGTCGAACGCAGCGACTCTGTGCCAACAAAATTGCTTCGTCGGTAGTGAGGATATTCCGCTTGGAGTTCATTACAGGAGCTGACTGAAGATGGCACAGGAACAGGAACAGCCTGTGTTCTGGAGACTGGAACAGATGAAACAGGCACTTTTTCTTCCGGGTTGCTCTGCACAGGCTGAGCTGGAGCTGGAGTTTGAGGCTCAGGACGACTTTGGAGAGATGAGACGTTTTCCTGAGCCTGATTTGGTGGAGCGACAACCTTTGGTTCCAGTTTCTCCAAATTAAGAATCTAATTGAGACGACACAGGTGTAAAGTAATTTTTGTTAACCATTATCTCAACAAATATTACAATATTATAGTCATTATGATTATTATAGTCATTTGTGTCTTCATAAACAATAGAACAACTAAATATATACATCAAAAACTTTCAATGTCCTTCAGCTCAGTGGTTCTAAACTGGTTGGCTGTGACTCAAACTTGGGACGCAGGTCTGTTCTGATTGGGTTGTGGATGGCAGGATAGCAAAATAAATAGACTTATCAACTTTTAAAAAGTAGGGGGGAAAAATCTCATACTTTTAGTTGTTGATGCCAAAGGCCAAAGTCATCTGTTACTTGGAAGAAGATAGTAAAGTTAGGCAGATGTCAACATGGACAGGTTGTATGACTTGCCCTTATCCTACAAAACCATGATATTACGTAAGGTAAAAAAAAAAACACAATACAGGTTCACTAGCAATAAAGATTTCACTAGCATTAAAGCATTGTTTTTGCCAACCACAATGTATTGTAGGAATTACAATATGATTGTAACACTTCGCAGAAGGTTAAATTAAAATTTAAGGTTAAAATTAGTTAATTCATTAGGTATTATGAACTAACACTGAAAACAATTTTTACACCATTTATGAATCTAGGTTAATAAATGTAAACATACTACTGTTTAAATTGAATTTAAATTAATTAAAACAATTAAGTAATTTATGCAAATTGTAATTTAGAATTTTTTTAATGAACCTAAATAAATGCTGAAAAGTTCATTGTTATTTCATGATACCTAATGCATTAAACAATGTTAATGAATTTAACATTAAGGTAAGTAATGCATTAAGGCATTTTTTTTTTTTTAGTAATGTGTTAGGGCTAAAATACAGGTACTGAAGAAAATAAAAAACAGCTGCTGTAGTTCACTCACTCACCCTGAGAACAGCTTTCATCTTGATCTGGCTGTTGGCTCCGGAGCACTCAAGCTGAAAGCGCTGGTCCATGGTCATGTCGGATACATTGAGCAGCCGGACCAACGGCAGAGTGAGTTTGCCCAGTGAGGATTTTTTCTCGTGTTCTTTTACCTGAGGCCACAGCATAAAGAAAGAGAAACATCATTTTCTATATATTATATAACAATACTTATGAGTTCTTACTGTTTGTTATATTTATCAAGCCTTGTGTGTAGAAGAACAAGAATAATTTGTTCTTTAATATTGTAAAATAGGTTATGGTTTTATGACAGGCTTACCTCAACATTCAACACTTGGTTATTCACACTGTGCACAAAGAATGTGAAGCATTCATCATAAGTCGGGTCTTTTGAGGCAAACACAACCTTTCAGATAAAATACAAACACAGATGAAAACACTCCAGCTTCTAAATGTCTGATTCATTATGTTTAAAAACTGGTAAACAGGGAGGATTAACATTAGAATAATATTCCAAAAAGCTAAATACCTTGCTTTTTTGACTTTGCTGATCAATGGAAAACTCCACGCATGAGTTGGGATCGTTAGTTCTTCTAGTGAGCTGCAATTTAAAATGGACACAAATGGAAATAAAGCTCATTAAGGTCATAGACACATTTTGATAATGTATATTCTAAATAACCATGAGATATGGTTCCCAAACTTTTTGACTTCCTATGCATTTTCATGGTCATGACCATAAATTACCATGACTTTTTCTTGACCTTTCCAGTCATTTGTGATTTCAGGATATAGATTGTTTATTTATTAATTAATTTTTTATCTAAAAGTTTTCAAAAAATCTAGCACAGGTTTACGTTTACGTCAAGTACCAATCCTTGGAAATGATATATTTAAACAATTATGCATATTAGCGTAAAAATGTCTCCAGGGAGACAAAAAAAGTCTTGATCGCAATGCAGTTCATGAATGATTTAGCTAGTGGTGCAACAAATACCACATTATGCCAAGAGTCGTTCTAGCAGCTGCAAAAAAAAAAAAAGCTTTTAATTTTGACTAGAAGATAGTAAAGTTAGGCAGATGTCAACATGGACAGGTTGTATGACTTGCCCTTATCCTACAAAACCATGATATTACGTAAGGTAAAAAAAAAAACACAATACAGGTTCACTAGCAATAAAGATTTCACTAGCATTAAAGCATTGTTTTTGCCAACCACAATGTATTGTAGGAATTACAATATGATTGTAACACTTCGCAGAAGGTTAAATTAAAATTTAAGGTTAAAATTAGTTAATTCATTAGGTATTATGAACTAACACTGAAAACAATTTTTACACCATTTATGAATCTAGGTTAATAAATGTAAACATACTACTGTTTAAATTGAATTTAAATTAATTAAAACAATTAAGTAATTTATGCAAATTGTAATTTAGAATTTTTTTAATGAACCTAAATAAATGCTGAAAAGTTCATTGTTATTTCATGATACCTAATGCATTAAACAATGTTAATGAATTTAACATTAAGGTAAGTAATGCATTAAGGCATTTTTTTTTTTTTAGTAATGTGTTAGGGCTAAAATACAGGTACTGAAGAAAATAAAAAACAGCTGCTGTAGTTCACTCACTCACCCTGAGAACAGCTTTCATCTTGATCTGGCTGTTGGCTCCGGAGCACTCAAGCTGAAAGCGCTGGTCCATGGTCATGTCGGATACATTGAGCAGCCGGACCAACGGCAGAGTGAGTTTGCCCAGTGAGGATTTTTTCTCGTGTTCTTTTACCTGAGGCCACAGCATAAAGAAAGAGAAACATCATTTTCTATATATTATATAACAATACTTATGAGTTCTTACTGTTTGTTATATTTATCAAGCCTTGTGTGTAGAAGAACAAGAATAATTTGTTCTTTAATATTGTAAAATAGGTTATGGTTTTATGACAGGCTTACCTCAACATTCAACACTTGGTTATTCACACTGTGCACAAAGAATGTGAAGCATTCATCATAAGTCGGGTCTTTTGAGGCAAACACAACCTTTCAGATAAAATACAAACACAGATGAAAACACTCCAGCTTCTAAATGTCTGATTCATTATGTTTAAAAACTGGTAAACAGGGAGGATTAACATTAGAATAATATTCCAAAAAGCTAAATACCTTGCTTTTTTGACTTTGCTGATCAATGGAAAACTCCACGCATGAGTTGGGATCGTTAGTTCTTCTAGTGAGCTGCAATTTAAAATGGACACAAATGGAAATAAAGCTCATTAAGGTCATAGACACATTTTGATAATGTATATTCTAAATAACCATGAGATATGGTTCCCAAACTTTTTGACTTCCTATGCATTTTCATGGTCATGACCATAAATTACCATGACTTTTTCTTGACCTTTCCAGTCATTTGTGATTTCAGGATATAGATTGTTTATTTATTAATTTATTTTTTATCTAAAAGTTTTCAAAAAATCTAGCACAGGTTTACGTTTACGTCAAGTACCAATCCTTGGAAATTATATATTTAAACAATTATGCATATTAGCGTAAAAATGTCTCCAGGGAGACAAAAAAAGTATTGATCGCAATGCAGTTCATGAATGATTTAGCTAGTGGTGCAACAAATACCACATTATGCCAATTCAAAGAATGTGTGCAGGAAATGTTTTTCACTTCTATGTCCTGACCAGCAGGTTACTCCACTAATAGGTCTGTGATCATTAATCAACTGACACTGAGGTGTGATATTATGATTAGGAGACTATGACACTATGAAAAAGACCAAGAAAAAGTCCTAATGTTTCACCTTTTAATTTGCATGATGTATATGTGGTTAACTTGATCATTTTCATAGTTGAACCAGTGGTAGAAACCAGTTGAACAGGTTGCTACAATTACAGAGAAGCAGGAACTAAAACCTGCGCCTTGACTTTATCATGCTTACAGCTAAAACGGTATGATATAATCTCTGGAATGCTCTATATTCCATGCAAGATGGCAGGAGGCTGCATTCCAGACGCATGAGATGGAATAAGAGTGAAATACCTAGAGATCTAGCTTTTTGCCCCAACAACAGAAAAAAGAAAGAAAAGCCTAAGGGGAGGAAGCCTAATACACAAACTTTCCAGAAAGGCTTAAAGGAATAAATCACTTAAAAATCATTCGGTCATCAATAACTCGCTGATATAAAAGGCCAAAATTAATTTACATTTCATCATATGGTTCCAGAAGACTACTTATGGTACGCTATGTGGTATTTTTATGGTGTTTATGGTGTACTTTTATGGAACCGTTTTGGAGCTGGTCACTATGAATCACCTTTTTTTTTTTTTTTTTATAAATCTCCATTTGTTTTCCACTGCAAAAATAACAACATACAGGTTTGGAACAACGCAAAGGTGACCAAATGATGATAGCATTTTCATTGTTCCATTAAAACTATATGGAAAGTTTATTAGTTTACCCATATAGTTTTGCTGGTATTGATTCTGAGAGGTTTTTGGATGTGCTTCATTCTTCCCACATAAGGTCAAGGACAATAGTGGCCATTTCTTACCCGAGATTCTTTGGGTGGTTTTCCATGCTTTTCATTATGGGTGAATTCACGGTGGTCTTTCTGGTAAGTAAGTAAGTAAGTAAGTAAGAATGAAAGAAAGAAAGAAAGAAAAAGAAGATATATCACAAAATAACTCGTTCTCACATGCTGTGTTTGTGTTATGATAGGCTGACAGTTTTTTAGTTGTGCTCTCATTGTACTTATATACTCACAGGCAGATTAGAGGCACTATCTAAGTATACCGCCAACATGGCACAAGCGAGCCCATCTCTGGTCTGAAAGGTGAAATTGAATAAAAATCCATTAAAACACCTTTACATTCATTCCAGTTGAATCTTTACAGTTAAATATAATAATCACATTGAAACAAACACACACATTTTATGAGACAGTACACCACTTAAATCACAGCGGGTATTTTAACCATCTGGCACAGCATATAAATTATCTACACTATTATAATAAGCTTACCTCCTTCAGTAGTGCTGGGTTTGAGTGCAAAGAAAACCATTGCAATTTCATATGTATCTGACCAGTCTCAATGTCCTCCAGGGTGAACCACTGCAAATCAAAGACAAAACGTGGCGAACAGCAACAACAAAAATGATATTCATATTATATCATAGAATATTTTAGCACTTTTTCGATGTACAGAGAAATTCTGCTAAAGTCTTTGTTCAACTATCAGTTAAGAAGCACGGCAATTCTGATCTTTCTAAAGCTCACCTCATCTAATTCTCTGTCTTTCCTCACATCCCCACAATCCAGACTGTACCTGTGGCAGACAATCCAACTCACAATCTCACACAAAATCACATAAAATGGGCAAAATAACGTCCATGATCTGAGCAAACTCATCATTACCTGCCCAAAAAGTCATCAGCATCCGTGTCTTCGTCATAAAGTTCCACCTCTAACTCTTGCCCAGGAGCTTCATGAACGACAAACTATTGAAAACAAATATTAATGCAATCACTATTTCCCATCTGAAATGACTTTGTACCGATAGATTGAGAATTGCTCAAAATTACCTCATAAACTTCATTCCAGCGTGGATTCAAAGTTTCTTTGATGGTCTTTGTTTTGAATTGCTTGTTTCCGACTCTCAGCACAGTATATGGATCTGACTTGCCCTTTACAAGTCCCATCATGTACGTGTCCTTTGCTACAAGATCCCGGGCCTCCAAAACATGGACCCGTACAACACCCTAAAGATGTTCACATGGTGTAACTTGTTCTGCATTTTAAAAACTGAACGTTTTTTGACTGATTTTAGCAATGGGAACCAATTATTCCCAGTCTTACTCGAGGAAGAGGAAACTTCATTTGGTCAGCCTTGACTTGATCGATCAAAGGGATGCACATGCGATTGGGCAGAACCATGAGAGAGGCTATGATATCCACAATGGCCGATTCTGACAAATGACTAGAGAGGACATAGAGAGTCAGATTTACATGGCAATGAACACTAATTATCACTTTGGTTAATTTATTGAGATGTCCCTGGATTTCTCTATGGCCACTAAACTTTGTAACTGAAAGATTTTTACAGGTAAAATCTTTCATCTTTAATAATCCTGTACTATGTATCCCTCCCTGTACAGGAGGCGTTCATGTTATACACATTTGTCTATATGTAAACTTGTATGACAACATTCCATGTCCTGAAGCAATTTTAAAGAAGTGTGGCTAGCTAGTTTGGTTTTTCCATTGTTTTGTTTAGCCCATCCAGCTTTAACGTGACTGAGTTGCTCAAGCTGATTACAAGGTTGGCTGCTTGATAATACAAAATGTAAAACATAACTGACAAAAGTAAGTTATTAAATAATGTGATAAAAATACTTTGACCCTTATAAGATAGCATGTGTATTGAGAACTGTTAACTACAAAAAAAAAACAAATACAACAAATGTGCATGGAACTTTCAACTGTTTATTGAGTCACAATCAAAAATAATTAAAATCTATGAACATACCTTAGTCCTGGACCATCCAAAACATTAGTCATTCCAGTCCAATTGACTTGCAGAGCCTGGAAATTTTATTTAAAATGTTCATGTTTTGAACTAATGAACTCATGACACTTTTGCTACTTTTTATTTTAAACTAGCCAATTGCATGTAATGTCCATACTCACAGGTCGACGAATGAAGAACATGGTGACTCCACCTACAAGGGGTGACTGGCCAATCAGAGGCTCGAGAATTACACGTAGCATTCCCTGAAGCTGAAAGAAAAAAAAAACACATTTATAGATGTTAATTGCTTTCATATTCAGTAACTTTTTTAATACATTAAGTTTGCTGTGCTGTGGGGACTCAGTAAAGGTCAGCAAGGCAAGATTTCACACACAATGGTAATTCAAAGTGTTTTACATAAAAGGGAATAAAATAATTATAAAAAAGTAATCACAACAATAAAAACAAGGAATTTAAAAACTTTTAAAATGATTTAAAAATTGATTTAAAATGAAAACAGTTAAGAATAGAAAATGATTATACATAAAATACAGTGCAATCAGTTCGGACGTTGCACAGTGCTCATTCAGTAGATGCACAGCTGAACAGATGAGTTTTGAGTCTGGATTTAAATGTGGCTAATGTTTTAGCACATCTGATCTCTTCTGGAAGCTGATTCCAACTGCAGGCGGCATAATAGCTAAAAGCGGATTCCCCTTGTTTTGTGTGAACCCTTTGCATTTCTAACTGACTTGATCCTAATGATGGGAGTGGTCTCAGCAAGATTGATTGATTGATTCTTTCTTTTTTCTTTCTTTCTTTTTTGGGAGGAAATTAATACTTTTTTCAGCAGGGATGTATTACCCTGATTAAAAGTGACAGTAAAGACATTTGGAATGTTACAAAAGATTTTTTTTTTAATAAATTCTGTTCTTTTGAATGTTCTGTTCATCAAAAAATTCAAAAAAAAAAAAAAGTATCACTGTTTTCCATTACAATATCAAGCAACTCAACTATTTTTTAACATTGGTAATAATAAGAAATGTTTCTTTAGCACCAAACCAACAAATTATAATGATTTCTGAAGGACCATGTGACACTGAAAACTAGAGTAATATCTGCTGAAAATTCAGCTTTGCCATAGAAATAAATTATATTTAAAAATAATTAAAGAGAAAACTGTTATTTTAAATTGCAATAATATTTCACATTATTACTACTTTTATTGTATATTTGAGCATACTATAAACTTAGCCGTGGTGAGCATAAGTCTTTAAAGACTTCTCACGGACCCCAAACTTTTAAAAGGTAGTGTAAATCAAAAATGTGACCTTGCCTGACATAAAAGGCAACTCTTAAATTTCAACTGAAGGAAATACCCTCTATTATCATTAAATTCAATTATTCCTTCACTAACCTGAAGGCCTTTGACTCCTACTTTGATGGCTGGTTTAACATCTGCATCAATGTCTACATCAGCATCATAACTACAGGAGATAAAAGGAAAAGAGAGCCTTAAAATATTTCAGGAAGATAAGGTAGCAAAACTATGCATTATATCAGTCATATATGGGTTAGCAAGATAATCTGGTGTCAAAATGAAGTTTGATGTCATAGCTCACATAATGTTGAAGTCGAGGATGACCTCTCTTGTTTCCAGCTCATGTGTGTACACTCGTACCCCTGTAATAGTTGGAGCCTGAAATGCAAATACACAATTGTAAGCTTCTGTATGACTGCAAAATATCTATAAACAGTCTATTGCCAGTTAGGGGCAACAAGCCTCAGATTACGGAATCGTACCTTCTGTCCCATGTGAACTTTAGTAAAGGTGAAGGTCTTCAGATGGGGGCTGGACGATCTTACAGATGGCTGAATGTTATCAATTAGAAGCTTTTCCATGTACATGCCAAAAAACGGCCATGCTTGCTGAAGAATCTACAACAAACAAGCACATTTATAGACATGCAATAACAGCAAAAATACTGAAACAGTACAATGTATAACTCCCACAGGCAGACAAATTTATGAGATTTGCCAGCATATAACAGGTGCAAATCAACATATGAGGCAGAAATCTTACCTTGTTGATCCAAGCAGCCTTCTCAACATCTGCAAAGTGAATCTATCAGAGAGAGAGAGAGAGAGAGAGAAATAAATAAATAAATAACAGAGACTAATAATGAACAGTTTACCACAAAATTAAGGTTCACTTGTTTAGAAATTAAAAACACTTGCGTTCAACTTGCTTAAATATGAATTAATTTTTAGCACATCAAATTCCACATAATCCTGTTTTCCTTTCAGCTTTTTATGAAATATGAATGAGATCAATCCCTAAAAAATTCAGAAGGTTCAAAGGGCAGTTTAAATGTTATTTTGTGGTGTCATGAATATCTGTGGCCTTGAATCTATTATATCTAAATCAATTCTGAAGATCAGATATGTGATATCACCCAGCTATTTTACAGAGAAGACAATAAGCAACCTAAGAACCTAAAACAGCTTGACGATTTTGGTCACAAAGGGCTAAAGGGAGAGTTCACACCAAAATATAAATTGTCAAAATTGGCTGTCTCTAACATTCTTCCAATATCTAACAGCAGCACATCTCCTGTGTTTGCCAGAAGAAAGATCGTCATACTGGTTTGGGATGACACAAGGGTTATACTGGAGTTTGTAAACATGGACATCTTGGGAACTGTAGCAACATAAAATCAGGATACTACAAAATGAAACTTTACAGGTCCAATAAAATGGTTTTACAGCATAATCCATTTTATATATTTCTTTCAACTTTAGTAAAGGGTGTGTCAGATTCCTGTTTTAAAAAGGGCTGGGTACTTTTATTTAGAAACTCAAGCTGACACCTTTGTGTGTGATGTTCCCAAAGCAACACAACAAGAAGCCACACCTCTTACAGTTCAATACCATCCAGTATTGTTTAGATGATAAGTATGCATATAAACAAGTACAATACAGTATTTTCCCACCAACATACTAATTAGTTTACATCTTTACAACTGATTAAAATACATGTTGCACAGATCATTTAAACTAATATTATTCCAGGTCAGTAAAGATGCCAAAAAGACCACCCACCCAAGTTGGCATGTTCATGGCTTTGAGTTCAGTGCTGATCACGTCCTTCTCGTTCTCCAAAAAGTCAATGGCTGTATCGATCCTCTGATCTTTCCACCTGCGGTTGTTTTTCCACATGGTCCACATCAGCATGCTCAGAAGAATCCAGCTGATGCTGAGTCCAAGCGAGCCGGTCAGGTATATGGGATAGCACAGGACAATCGCTCTCATAATGAACATCAGGAACTCCATGATCAACTGATTGACATCCTTTACACTGAGTCCCTCTGGATCTCCAGCAGAGATGGAGGGTGCTTGACCCTCACTGGCTGCAGCGCTCATTGTGACTCTGGAGCCTGACTGCTGATTTAAAGGTCTGAAGTAGATAGTAGAAGAGCGTCTGAATTCACATCAGAGACGCATCGCCTGTCGATCGTTGTACTGAGTTTGGTTTTCCTGGCTACCTGAGATCAAATCCAACCATCAGATCGAAAGAGTAAACAAAAGATTTACGGAGACGCGCTCAGCATCCCTGGTGACCCGTCGCTTTCACTTCATCTCCATTAAACCAACTGTGATTGTGCAAGCACTTGTCAGTTTTTGCGAACTTCCGCGTTTCCCATCCATTGGGTTTTTACCTGCCAGCCTCGAAGTAGACACGCCTAAATTCCACCCTTTTCTGTGTGTGAGAAATAGTACATTCGTTCGTGTAGTAAGCTGACAGACAGGATCTGCCTCGAAACCCAACGATTGCATTTGCCAAGCGATCCAAATCGATCTGTTCATGGAAGTAGAAAGGCGAAGTCGCATTAAATAGTGGCTCATGTAGCAGAGTGAGTGGCCGATATTTATTGCAAGACGATTTTTTCACTTGGATTAACTTAGTTTAAGTAGGCTATAATTTTAAAGAAACGTGCTTAAAGGGGTCATATGATGCTTTTTTAAAGATCATTATTTTGTGTATTTGGTGTAACAGAATATGTTGGCATGCTTTAATGTTCAAAAAACACATTATTTTTCAAATACTGTACATTATTGTAGGTCCTCTATGCCCCGCCTCTCTCAAACGCTTCGTTTTCTACAAAGCCCCCTCCTT